TTAATCTACCGCTAAGAGGCGGTGAGATTCATTCACGTTAGCTCTCTCTCTGTCTCTGTCTCTTTCCTTTTTTGTTTTTCTTTTTTCTTTTCTTTTGACGAAGTATGATACCACCTGAATGGTTTTCTTTTTTGTCTTTGCTTTTTCTTTCTTGCTAGGAGGGAAGCAGTTGGGCAAGAAGGAACAGTGACCGACTGGTAGTCTTGTTGCCGGATCTCTGTTCGACGGGACGTGTTAATGGCCACGTCGGGCTTTTTAAGCAGGCCGAGGTACTGGTGGTTTAAGGGAAGGTCTCTTTGTGATGTCCTTCTTTATACCTCTTAGGGGCGGGCTCCTTCTTTCCGGTGTCCCCTAAGGAAAGGGGCAGGCTCCAGAAAGATGGGCCTGCCCGTCGCAGAGGAGACCCCTCTGGACTTTCGGTAGATGGGTACAATGATACTACAATCACTTGACGAAACTCAACTTCAAAGAGCAGTGTAGCCTTTTGAAGTTTGGAGTCGAGTCGTGGGGGCATTATTAGGAGGGGCCTGCGAGGCGCCGGTAAGGTGAAACCTAGATGTGGGCATTGTTCAGGGGGTGCCACCGCCTCCTAGACTCCACCAACATTTGATTGTTGTGATATATATACCGTTGGCTTGCAGTCGATCACATGCCCACCGCTTAGACAAAAGAACGAGACGGAGAAGAAGGCTAGAATGGCCCCAGTGCAAGATGGCACTCGCAAATCGAGGAACGATGGTGCAAAACATCACTACCTTGTTGCTGCAGGTATCAGCAGAACAAATTCTGTCGGTGTGCCGTCCTTTGAAATAAACTTTCACGGCAACTCTTTGAGTGTTCCTACGAGACTACCGTCTTCACCCGAATAGAACGCCCGGTAATTATTGCTGCATCTGGACTGGACGTTGCGTCAAATACAGCTATAATGACCGGGCGTTCTATTCGGGTGAAGACGGCAGTACAAAGTCTGCTCGCTGTTCAAAGATTTTCTTAGTGCCTTGCGACTGCTTTTTTCCCGCTTTCACAGTAGAGTAGGAGACCTTTCTTCCAAACAGTATTGTTTTCAGCAAATCGAAAGTGCGTTAGGTTTGTTGACTGTTCCAGTTGAGCCCACAAGAAAAGCACTTGAGGGTGTCCCATCGTACGGATGTCAAGACGACTGCGGAGAAGTCGTTTGACAATCCAGACTTCCCTTTACCGACTTCACCCAGATAGAACGCCCTGTCATTATAGCTGTATTGGGGGCAACTTTCGGACTAGATTCGGCGATAAAGACCGGGCATGTTTCCCCCCTCTCATTATCCTACACCTACTCCTTACTATTCAACTATGGAAAGAAGAGTCCACCATCTAACCTATGGGCACGGAGTCGAAGCTTAAAGTCACCGGTGGGCTATGCTAAGCTATCCTAAGGTTATGGGTCTACACCTACCTAACTACCTATCTCTGCTCTGTGCGGTGAGCAGTACCCAAGCTCTTATCACCCGGCGCAGGCTGGAAAGAACCAATACGCCCGTACTTTCACAACCAGGCGGGAGGCCCAAGCTAACAGTCTCCGTTGGTGAACGCGGAGCATACATTCAGGAGGCCGCGGATGGCTGGTGAATTATCTCTACTTACCTGGAGTAAGAAATTGGTTGAGTTTGAATGGTTGCCTTGTCTAAGAAAGCTACATTCCTACGGCTGCCCTTTTCTCTCCTATTACGATCTACGCAAAGCTAGGTAGCAAAACTTGCCCTGCCTACAGCTTCTAGGTTAGAATCTTCGCAGCGGAACAATTAGAAAGACTTGGAACTCAGAAATGCTTGGGGCAGCTCGCGGGTTTCAAGTCCTGCTGCCCCTACACAAGACCTAAACTTAGACCTGGACGCAACCTACTGGACAGCTCTCTAGGCCCTATAAAATTGTGCGAGCTTTACTCAATACACTGAACACAGAGGGAAAAAAAAAAACTGAAAAATAAAATAAAATGATGTAGGTGTGCTGAAGGGCAAAATGGTGGGTATGCATCGCATGTTAAGTGCATGGCTGCTTCGTCAAAACATTACGCTTATCATTACATTGCAATCTTTGCTCTTTTTTTGTCTCATCGCGTATTGATAGGGTTATATAGGTTGTCTGTATCAGTTTTGGATCGGCGAATCGGGTTGTTCTGTTGACAGACTACAACACGCACACAACGTGGGAGTACACAGCCAGCATATTGAAAGGAGCCTCAATTGATGGACTCGAAAGAGCACATTGCTTACGAGAGCAGTACAAATCTGCCACGCTCAGCGGGGTTTCTTTTCTAATATAGTGAACATGACGACATAGAACACGTCCTTGCTAAGCTCTCCATTCAGGCGGATCTCTGCCACTGTGGTCGGGACGGTACTAGCAGACATGCCAGTGGATCTCCCAGGCTGTGTGGGTGTGTAGAGTGGGTTTTACGAAGAGTGTTGTGTAGAGTGGTGCCGTCCACATCTCTCATCGTCGTCATCGGGCTTAACGAAGAGTGTTGTGCTAGTACTCAGAGCGGTTCCAGGTGCAGTACCTGGAACCGTTGGCAAGCAAAGAACGGTTCCAGATGCAGTACCTGGAACCGTTGGCAAGCAGAGAACGGGTCCAGGTATTGCACCTGGAACCGGTGGCAAGCACAGAACAGTTCCAGGTATTACACCTGGAACCGGTGGCAAGCACAGAACGTGGGTTTTAATCCTGCGGGAAGCAGATGAATAATGCCAGGGGGGTTACCCCCTTAAAAAAAAAGCAGAAAAAAGAGAAAAAAGGGGAAGGGGAAGGTGCTCTTTCAGTGGAGGAAAAGGGGTTTAGGGAACGTTTGGGTTCAGGCTTCGTTTGGAGCTCTCTCTGAGGATTGCGGAGCCTTCTCAACTCAAGCAAGCATCCGGTTTGTGTCTATGGTGTTGGCTCGCAGTTGCTGTATACGCGCTCACAACTTCACCGTTCTCCTAATCCTTGATTTACAGAGAAGGTTCCCACAGCCAGTGGTGGATTAACTGCCTTTGCGTGCTCATATGCCCCATCTGTGATTATTCAGAGAAGATAGTAAGCAAGCGACACGAGCGCATCTTGAGACTATGCTTGCATCTGCGTTGGCGCTGCAATCCCCTCAAGAATACAAGAGCTGTTTACTGGCGTATGTTCGACATCTCACAAGGTATGTATGTCATTCGATACCTTTCGAGGAACTGTTGTTGTTGTTGTTGTTGTTGTTGTTGTTGTTGTTGTTGTTGTTGTTGTTGTTGTTTTAGTGCTGTCTCTTTGCTTAGCTATAGCACTGCGTGTTCGCTCGGCAACAGCCTTTGACTGTGTTTGTGTATGGGTTCATTGATGACATTCTATTGTGTTGTCCATTCGCTTGGCGATCATCTTCTACTGTGGTGTCTGTTTTCACTTAGGTATAACATTTTATTGTGGTGTGTATTCGCTCAATCATCGCAGTGTGCAGATGGGAACCAGGCTTGTTCCTCTTCTTCTACTGTGATTTGTCTATTCGCTTTGAGGTAGCCTTCTATGTTACGATCCTGGTCATTCCCAAAGTGCAAATTCACAATGAAAGACAATGCCACCCAATTGCGAAAGAAATGAAAGCACTGGCAAAGAGATACATAGAGACCAAAGAAGAGAGAAAGAAGAAGAAGAAGAAGAAGAAGAAGAAGATGTACAACAGCAAGATCAATGACAAATCCCCTTCTCTCTCCACCTTCGTCCTCCTCCTTCACTTTGCCAATCTTGTTCAATGAGTGGATGAACCAGAATCAATGTCCAAAGTTCCCTCTTACTGCTGACACAACAACAGGTCCACCATAGCTGTGGCTTCCCCCCTTCTTCCACCTCTCACATGCATAGGCTATGGCGGACTACTGAGGGCTTCTGCCCTCTTGTGCAAAGGACAACGCAAAGCAGCTATGTCGCTGCACACCTGTCCAAAGAACAACCCAAAGCAGCTATGGCGCTGCTGACTAAGCCGCCATGCCTGACTCTGCCTCGAGCTTCCTTTGGTGCGGCACTACCCCAACTGGGGCCTTCCAGATGCAGCGCACAACAAGGTGATGAACATGGTGTCCACCATAGCCAGGTAGGTACCTTGCCACTGTCCTCCTTCGCCCCCTTCTTCCTCCTCCTCAAGCTGGGCTGCTCGCCATAGCCAGGCTGAGCGCCCAGCTGCTCGTCACCTCCAGGCAGCGCTGCCCAAGTCCAGCGCTTGGCTCCAGCAGCATGTCGCCAATCCTTGCATACCGCAAATGAGGAGCTGCTTGCTCCTCCGGAAGATATAGCGGCCTACTGGCCTCTTGGGCTGTGACTTCCTAGGCCGAGCGGCCTCCCAGCAACCGGTACATCATTGCAGGCTCCGCTATCGTCCGGGCAGGCCCTAGACTCGGGCTACTTGGACTGGTACCGGCCTACCTCTAACCTACCGCTACTGGGCCTCTAAAAATGCCGACATTTTGTCTTCTTCTGCTCGGCCTCTAGTACCCGACACTTCTACCACCTCTTGAGTGGTACCGGCCTACCTGCTACTTGAGTGTTTTTCCCGCTGCTCTAAGTGTCGCAGGCCTGCCCCCGCTACTTGAGTGTTTTTCCCACTGCAACCCTGTTCGCCATTTCCTCAGCTCCTCAGCGACAGCCTTCTCCTGTATTGGCTATTCGCTCACCCATACCCTCCTACTGTGTTTGCCCTTTGTTTGTTTTTTTTAAAGCAAAAAACTATAGCTGCAGAGCATGATTAATTTCATAGTATTCATACCCTCTTACTGGGTCTTCCATTTGTGCTAAGCGACCTTTCTGCAAAAACCCTTCCTACTAGTTCCTAGTGTGTCTGCTATTTGTGCTAAGCGATAGCCTTTTTCTTCCTGCGTTATCGGCTCGCTCAGTGAGCTTAACCTACGCTTGCCAATGTGGCATCTATAAAGGGACATGTGACGTGTTTTTTTTTTGCGGTTGTCTTTTGATTGACCAGAATCTTACGAAGCTACCTTTGACTAGATAAGCAGAACAAGTACTAGATAACATGGTGGTGGTTGATGAAACAGGTCTGAAAACTTTATTCTTTTTTTTTTTCCCAAAACACGAACTGGAAACGAAAAAGGAAAATTGATGACTTCGATTTGTGGGCATTTGCCCCAGGTTTAGCCTTCCGCCGCGTTTGTCTATTTACGGTCTTGTCTATTCACGCGATGACATTAATAATTATTAAATTAACCTACGTCTAACATCTTTGAAGGGACACATGCTATTGTCTTTGAGCGATCAGGTTCTTTCTAAGCCACCCTTGATCAATTTGTGCGGCTCGTTGAAAAAAAAGCACATGATGCTACAGCCATGCCCCCAGGCTCTTACGGTAGCCTTCAGCTGTGATTGTCTATTGACTCAGCAACTTTTTCAATATCGGTGCACTCGATTGTTTGTGTTCGAAGGGAAGGAGACGAGGGTCGGCTTCGGGAAGTCTGTGAAGATTTGTTCGGCATGCCATCAAGCTCTGCGCATGGACCGGCGGAAAGAGAGGACGCGTTTGTTCTGGTAAGGGTCGAAGCTTTGTCGCACTGACGGTCAAGCCCGAGGATTTGTGAATTGGGTGTAGTGTTTTTTTCAATCAGACTTTATCCCTGTAAATCACAACGATGCTCTCGTGTACGATCAAAATAACAAAAGAAAAAAGAGTGAAGGCTCTGAAGAGGCGCAAAAAAGAAGCAAAAGCAAGCTGGCCCAGCTGACTCTAATATGTTATGGGGCCACTGCTGAGAATCATGTCAGGTGCAGATCAAACACCTGCACATGGCAGAGGGTATAGGTGAGGTGGAGATCAAACACCTGCACACAGCAGAGGGTATATAGACCACAGCAGGGCTAATTTCTAATTCCCCGCTTGTAGCGGAGGCAGGGTATTTCGGTACGATTTCCTTGTCCCCAATCCTCATTCCGCCTCCCCCTCCCTCTTCCCCTACTCCATCCCCACATCACCCTAACCCGAAAAGAGCGAACAAGAAATTGAACCCTTGAATTCCAGGTGAAAAAAGTTATTTTCACCATTCTCTGGGCGGTGAAGGGAAGGGAGATCTCCTTTGCCCGGAAAAAAAAAAGGCGGTACTGGCTTGCCAGTCATGAAAGCAGAGTCGGCGCATGGTCCGACTGACCACCACACAAAGCACAGAATCGTGTAGCTGCACGACGAAAATATGTGAGATAGTATCTTGAATTGGCCACTTCAACAAAAAGGAATGAAGCACCAAGCACATAATCGTGTAGCTGCACATTGGCCACTTCAACAAAAAGGAATGAAGCACCAAGCGGAAAAAAACAGACCAAGTCACACAAAGCACACATAATCGTGTAGCTGCACGATGAAAATATGTGAGATAGTATCTCGAATTGGCGACTTCAACAAAAAGGAATGAAGCGCCAAGCGGCAAAGAAGAGACAGTGCTATGGTGGTAATCTCCCTCCCACCACCTCATAATCGTACTCCACCGAGGAGGTAAGGTGTCTGGCATCCTCGACTATGGTAGTCTCACCCACCGCCAGCCTATGACTTCATCAGGGGGAATACCTTGTATATAAGTCATTCCAAAGTACTTAAGAAAGACGACCAGATCTCGAAATAAGAAGCCCTTTTTACCCGTCAGCTGGATAGAGGGTAGTTAATGGATCACTTTTGCTTTACAGTGTGAAATGGATTTTAAAATTTTAATATCATTTTTATCATTTCAATTTTTTTAACTTTGTATAATTTTCTTTTCGGTTCTAGGCTTAGGCTTCTAGCACCGGAGCCGTGTCTCTCGGTATTGGGGAGAGGCTGAAGTCTTCTTCGGCCCTTTGTCGAGTGTCAGGGCTGTATGTATGGACCTGCACGGTGTTGAAGCCCCTCGGTTATCGGTGTTCCCCTTGTGTTTTTGGCAATGGCGTCATAGTTTATCAAAACTACGCGTGGTCCGATGTTTCAGTTGGATTCTTAGTTTTTCCGAGCGTTTACTGGATGAGTCTCGACCGGAGATCGACTGCCGGAAATTGCGAACTGGGGTATAGGTGGGGTCTGGGCTTGGGTATGGACTCCAATAGAGCATCGGTGCGACATGGACAAGAATCACAACGGTTCCAGCGATAACCGTTGATCAAGTGGGCATAGACTCCAATCGACGGACTTGAACCAGAGAACCAGAGATCGAGTAGGTGTCCCATTTACATGGATTATTGTTTCTGGCTGTAGATTTCAGACATAGTCCGCCAGAAATGAGGAATGTCTGCCGATGGCACGTTCCGCCGAAGATGAAAAACGTAAGAGCCGTCGCCCTTTCAAAAAGGAAAAAAGAAAAACACGCAAGAGGCAAATAAAAGTATCCATGTACCTTTTTTTTTTTTTTTTTAAATGGAAAACGGCTTAGGTCAGTTGGTACACCCCTGAACTGTTGAAATATGGGCCAGTACAGAGTTTGAACTCTCCACTGGAAGCAGATGAGTGAAATAATACAATCTTGAATGCCTAGGTCCAGTCACTTCGGTGATGATATCCCAAGGCCGTCACCTTTTAAAAAAGTATCCATGTAGATGCAGCGAGAAGGCGATGGTGGTGTCCATCTGTGAAATTTTCCTTAGTGATTATAGGAAAGTAAAGAGAAATCTAAAATTTGAAAACTATTTTCTGAGGAGAGGGAGGAGAAGAAGAAGAAGACGAAGAAGATGAAGAAGAAGAAGAAGAAGAGGAAGAAGAAGATGTGGAAATGGATGGATCGTTACCTTCGGGCTGAGCACAGTTTATTAAACTTTATTTTCATCAATTTTAAATTAGTTTTTGAACCTGAAACTTGTATTAAGGAACTGAGTGGCCCATGAATCCAATCAAAATGGAGAAAGAACGGCTACCGTCTTCCGCCGAATGGAATGTACGGTCATTTTGCCTGTATTTTGGCCAGCTTTCAGTCTAGACGCAGCAAGAATGACCGCACGTGCTGTTAGGGGGTTTATGTAGGTCTCTTACCAACACTGGGGAAAGACAGTAGCATCACGGATGTCATCGATGCGTTTCAAGTTCGGTTGTGTGGGGGTTTTTTATGTAGGTCTGCCTTCACTACAAAGACCAACCTCGTAGAAATTGCAGGCTTGGTAATCAGGTATGGTTTCAGGTTAGGGAGGGCTGATAGGCGTCTTTCCCTGTTTTGATTTGGTTTAGGTTTTTTTTTTTTTTTTTTTTTTTTTTTAGGTCCTTGTGCAAGGCCTTGTGGTAAGAGAACCACCGGGATTGAGTCTTTGCCTGCTGGCTGCTCCGTCTATTGGGGGGGAGCATCACCTGCTGGAAACCGGGTCCAGTGTCCCTTAAATACATCATTTCTTGTCCCAAAACGTATCCCTGCCAGCATTGGTTACCCTGGATTGCGGGGGATTGACTGACTGAGCAGGGCAGGAGGCAGGCCAGGGGAGCAGCTGCCGCCTTGGGCCCCGGAGGGCGTTGGATTTAGGGGTTCACTTCGCAGGGTTTTTTATTAGTCGGTGTGCATGTACTACAAGTAGACCACCTGTGACAGTTTTGCCATCTTGGTATTGAGCCAGATAACAGGTGTGGTTTTCGATGGGGTGGTAGGCCTCCTTTTCCCTTTTTTGATTTCGTTTGGGGGTTCATTGTCCTAGGGTCCACATGTTGTTCTGTGTGCACTTCGCGTGCCAACTGGAAAACAATTGACAGGCGTGGTATCAGGTCCGCAAGGGTTGTTACACCTCCCCTTTTTCCCTCTCGTGCTTCGGCTTGGGGGTTCCCTTTTGTAGCCTCGCTGTAGGTCTCCATGCGCTTGAAATATGAACTAGAGAAGTCAAAGGGTTGGCATCAAGTTCCGGAGTGGTGGTAGGCCGCCTTTTTTCTTTCCTTTTTTTTTTTTGTTTCACAAAACAGGCCCTTATGGTTCGGACTCTGTGTCCATTCTCGGGAGCATCGGTTCGGTTCCTTCTCCCCCCGCAAGTCATGTTTTACATCATCGGCACCCTCACACATCCTTTCGTTTGGCCGAAGGATCCCCGACCGGCATTGATTGCTCTCTGTATCAGGAGGATTTAACTGTCAGTTGGCCTTCTCATCAATCCCTCTCAGGTTTGAACACTGAACCCGAGATGGACTCTGACATGCTGTGGGTCTTTTTTTGTTTTGTTTTCTTCAGTCCAGAGACCAACTGGTACAATTCCCAGGCTTGCTATCAGGCATCGTTTCAGCTTGGGGAGAGGTGTTAGCTGTCCATTACGTTTTTGATTCCGTCTGGCTTCACTTCGGTAGGGTCTTTTTCGTATCTATATATATTATTATTATTTATTTTTTTTTATCTCCGCTCATTTTTTGTCCAGGGGTGACAAGTCATCTGTATTCATAGATACAGAGTGTGCGATGTACAGAATTCTTTTTTTTTTTTTTTTTTTTTTTATCTACACAACAGATCCTGTCCAAGTACAGCCGTGCACTTCGGTAGGTTCTATGTAGGTCTGCGCGCACTGGCAAAGTCCAAGTGGGCAATTAGCAGACTTGGTATGAGGCTTCGTATCAGTTTCGGGAGGCTGCCCGGCCTCCTCCTTCTCCTCTTTTGATCCATTTTAGGCTCATTTTTGTGGAGTCTCCCTAGGTCGGTGTTCACTACAATCTAAGATTCTAAAATATATAATAATATAAATCTACAAAACAAAACAAAAACAAAGCATCGGCTTCTGTTTTCAGCCTGGTTGTAACAGACATTACAGTTTTGTCCCATAGAGAATTGGAACCTTGCATTTTTGTCCCATAGACAACTGGGACGGAGCGGTCTTTTCCTAACCCAGTTCTGATACGTACGGCAAAGTCTTCGAGGACTCTGGGCCCTTCGAGAATTATGCCATCTCTCTCCACGCTTGCGGAGAACTGACCTTTTCGCCATGCGTGCGTGGGAAACCTGCAGAAGAAAGAATGAAGTCAATGGGCGCACAACAGGCAAAAGCGAAGCGGAATATGAACAGAGTAATGAGCAAAAATGGGCCGGTTCGTGCCGAGCTTTTTCTTTGGCTTTTATCTTTAGGTAGCCCTTTGCTTCCGTTATCCGACCTTCTTTTTTGTTCACAAACATCCGTCTCTAGTACACCATGTTGTCTCCCTCCTCTTTTTCTCCCTCTTATTTCCTTGCTAGTACACCCTCTTGCCTCCCTGCTCTCTCTCTCTCTATCTCTCTCTCTCTCTCTCGTTTGCCTCCCCCTGTTGCTGTCTCTCTGAGCACTCTCCTTGCCCAGCACTTTTTATCTCACTTCTGCCGTGCACGCGCGCGCGCGCCTGTGTGTGTGCGTGTGTGTGTGTGTGTGTGTGTGTGTGTGGACAGGGAATGCGAAAGAGACACCTTCTACGGAACGACGTGCTGCCGGTGATGGCGGGAAACCGAAAAATACAGCGGCTGTTGAACGAGTTCTTGGATCTTGTTACGGACATGGAACCCAACTTGAGGCCGGCTTGATGTTGCTCTCCCGCTCAAGCACTCTGGTTTGGCAGTATCCTTTGACGATGAATAGAATGCGGAACAGAAGGCGCGTCCTTTTTTCTTATTACCTGCCTCGTTTGGCCATATCCTTTGCGGTTCATCTTTAGAATACAAGAAAAACCACGCGTGTCGACTTTTCTCTTGTTGCCTTTTCATTCGTCGTCGTCGTCTTTCTCACCTCTCCCAGTAACCTTCCCGGCATTTCCTCCTGCCCCTTTGTGTCCATTGGCTGCTTCCACTCCCGTGGCGGCTACTCCCGGTACTCGTTGTCGGTTCTGGAATAGTCATCCATCTTCCCCTTTCACTCCTCTCAATTGATATCTTCATTGTACTGGATGCGGTGTGTGGTGTACTCCCTCCCTCCTTCCTTCCCTCCTTCCCTCCTTCCCTCCTCCTCCCCTCCTTCCCTCCCTCGGTCCCTCGTTCCCTCTCTCCCTCCCTCGTTCCCTTTCTCCCTCCCTCGTTCCCTCTTTCCCTCCCTCCCATGTAGTTGAGATATGCTATAGGGGCAAAATCTTGCTCTAGCTATCTGAGCTATACTATAGCAGTTCAACAAGGCCATAGTGATTTATGTTTTGCTATTGGAGATTGGTATAGCATATCTGAATTATTCTATTGCTATAGGTGTCTGACATATGCCGTAGCCATTTCCTTTGTGCTATGGTTGTTTGCTATAGGTGGTAAATGGCTATAGCAGAGTGCTGTAGCAAATGTGCTCTGTTCTGAAAATCTGTGTGCTGTGTGCTATGGTGGTTTTGCTCGGCTATGGCGTCCTCAAGTTCCCTAACTGCTATGCCATGTCTATTTGAGCTTTGCTATAACTGTGGCTTGGAGTCTCACATGCACTCTCATTTTGCTAATCATCCTTGCAATCAACACCCAAGCTTTCACCCAAGCCACTGGGCATGCTTCCGCCAATTTGGAGGCCAAGTTATGCTTAGGCCAATTTGGAGCCCAAATTATGCTTAGGCCAATTTGGAGGCCAAATTATGCTTAGGCCAATTTGGAGGCCAAATTATAGGCCAAATTGGAGGCCAAATTATCATGGGGCTTACCCACTTGAATCACAGCTTGATCGTAAAATCCACATCTACTCAGTTTTTCTGACTTTTTCAGACTTTTTCTATCATATAATTTACAATCTTTTGTATCAGAGAGACGTATTTATATTAGAGAGACGTAAAAAAAAAAAAAAAAAGATATAAGTTTGTCACAGCCCCTCGTTTGTTGTCCTCTTCTCTCTCTCTGCCTACGGTTTACCGGGCAGTTCTGTTTGTGACGATATATATATATATATATATATTCTATTTGACGATATATATATATATATATCGTCATATATATAAGTCGGTGAAGCTCCGACGAAACAGTTTGTCACAGCCCCTCGTTTGTTGTCCTCTTCTCTCTCTCTGCCTACTGTTTACCGGGCCAGTCTGTAGAGTTTTCCATCTGGTGTGGGTGAGTGATAGTCTACTTTGATTTTGGTTAAGGTAGATTATCATTTACAGTGTAATCAGTGAGG